CGTACTTCGGTTGCAGTTTGTCCCCGGCCCTGGTTGGTCGTGCGGGTGGCAGCCACTTGATGTGTCCCTTCACGTCGATGTTTCTGTCTCTCTCTCCCTTCCTCTCTCTCCCTCCCACTCTATCTGAACAAAAAATGGAAAAATATCCTCGGGTGAGGATAAAAAAAAAAATCCCCCTTCTGGTTTAGTAGAAAGGATATACTAGCATTCTCAGACAAGAAAATGCTGAAGGAGTTCATCACTACCAAATTAGTATTACAAGAAATGTTAGAGACTTTTTTAAGAAGAAGGAAAAAAGATCAAAAGATCAAACATAGGAATAATAAAATGGCAATAACTACATACCTATCAATAATTACTTTAAATGTATTAAATGTTCCAATAAAAAGACATTGGGTGGCTGAATTGATAAGAAAACATGACCCATACATGTGCTGCCTACAGAGGACTCATTTCAGATTGAAAGACACGCACAGACTGAAGATAAAGTGATGGAAAAAGATATTTCATGCAAATGGAAACAAACAAAAAAGAGGTCAGATAGCAATACTTATATCATACAAAATATACTTTAAAACAAAGGCTATATATAACAAGAGACAAAGAATGACTCAGTAATTCCACCTCTGGGTATTTATTAGAAGAATACCCAAACACTAATTTGAAAAGGCATATACATCCCTGTGTTTGTTGCAGCATCATGTACAATAGCCAAGATATGGAAGAAACCTAAGTGTCTGTCCACTGATAAATGAATGAATAAAGAGATGATACATATATACAAAGGAATATTACTCAGCCATAAAAAGAATGAAATCTAGCCATCTGAAACAACATGGATTGACCTAGAGGATATTATGCTAAGTGAAGTAAGTCAGACTGAGAAGGACAAAGATCATATGATTTCACTTCAATGTGGAATCTAAAAACAAAGTAAATGAAAAGCAAAACAGAAACAAACTCAGTGATACAGAGAACATTTTGATAGTTGCCAGATGGCAGGGTTTTGGGGGATTAGTGGAAAAGGGTAAGGGATTAAGATGTGCCAGTTATAAAAACAGTCACAGGGATATAAAGTACAGCATAGGTAATATAGTCAATAATACTGTAATAACTATGTATAATGTCAGATGGATCTAGATTTATATTGGGATGATCACTTAGTAAATTATATAAAGTCTGATCTCTGTGTTGTACACCTGAAACTAATATAATACTGAATGTCAACTGTAATTGAAAAACAAAAAAATATATAAAATTATGAAAAGAATATACTAGCCCGTGGCTCAGTTGTTTGAGGTCATCCCATGCACCAGGAGGTCACTGGTTCGATTGCCACTCAGAGCACATGCCTGGGTTTCAGGCTCAATCCCCAGCTGGGGGCATGCAGGAGGCAGCAATGATTCTCTCTCTCATCAATGTTTCCATCTTTCTCTCCATTTCCCTTCCTCTTTCTGAAAAAGAAAAAGTATTTTTAAAAAATCCACCTTAAAATAAAAAGAAAAAAATACGATAGTATTTTAAAATGACTTGGGTGGGTGGCTTCTCTTTTTATCGGGTTTTTTTTTTTTTTTTTTTTTTTTAGCATGAAATACGAAATACCTGTTATTTAAACATTTGGAAACATCCATTTGTGTTTTAACATTGAGGCTATTTTGTTTAGGCTTGGTTAGGTTGTCTTCTCCCTTATTTCTTGATCAGTGTGGTAAAACAATGTTTTATTTTATTTTTTAAGAAACAGATTTTTTGATCTGTCCTATTACATCTTTATTTTCTATTTTGTCATTTTCTGGTCTTATCTTTATTATGTCCTTGCTTTTCCTTTCTTTAACTTTACTCTTGTTTTCACATTTTTTTTGTTGACGCCTTAATTAATTTATTGTCTTTTTTCCTAATAAGGATCTAGAAGTATAATTTTTCTCAGTACTGCTTCAGCTGCATATTACAGGCTGTTATGTAGTATTCTTATAGTACTTCATTTCTGAATATTTTCTGTTTTCCAGAGCTATTTAGGAAATTTTGTTGTTGTTGCTGTTGTTATTGTTTTAAATATCCAAGTCAAAAAGTTTTCATATTCACTTTTTGTTCTTGATTTCTAATTCAATTACATTAGGGCCAGAGCATATGATCTGTATGATACTATTCTTTGATATTTGCTGATCTGTTTATTTCTTAGAATGGCCTAGCTATATTTTGTGTTCTGAAATTTCACTTTGATATTATGATATTTCTAGATGTGATTTTATTTTCATGTATCCAAATTGGGTCACATTTTTCATTATGGAAAAAAATTCAATTATTAACTCTTTACCGCGTATCTTCCATTCTTACTGTTCTCTTCATCTGGAGCTTCTATTAGACATACATTAGGTCATCCCATCTGTCCTTCATGTTTTTTAATTTTTTAAGCTCTCACCATAGGATACGTTTTTTCATTGATTTTATAAAGAAAGGAAGGGAGGAGAAGGAGACAGAGAAAGAAACATCAATTTGAGAGCGAAACATTATATATGCCCCAACCAGGGGATCGAACCTGCAACCTGAGTATGTGCCCTGACTGAGAATCAAACCTGCCACCATTTGGTGCACAGGATGACGCTCCAACCAAGTGAACCACACCAGCCAGAGCTGTCCTTCATGTTTTATAACCTCATTTCATATTTTCCATTTTATTATCTCTCTATAAAAGTAATATGGTGAATTTCCTCATATCTCTTTCACATTTACTAATTTTCTTTTCTGTTGTGTCTTAATACATTGCTTAATCCCTCTTTTTGAAATTAATTTCATTGACTATGTTTTTATAGAATTTCTTTTTTGTTCTTTTTCCTGTTTACCTGGTCTTTTATCATATTTTAAATCCTATTTATTTTGTCTTTATTATTGTTCAACAGAATTATTTTATAATGACTTTGAGATAATTTAGTTATTTGAAGTTTTTGGAGGTCTCCTGCTGTGTGGGAGTGTGTGTGTGTGTGTGTTTCCTAATTCTGGCATATGGTGAATTATTTCTTTACACAAATTCTAATTTTGGATAGTGAAGTCATCTTCAGTGGTGCTTTATCTGTGGAAATTCTGTGGAATCTGACTCTAGAATGGGTTTGTCTTTGATTTTCCTGGAACCCTAAAGTTGATACAGTTTAGTAGTACCCTTTTTATCCCACCTAGAGAACATACTGAGACAGAGAAACATCCTTGTTTTCTTCCTTTGTTAGTGGTACAATTTTTAAAAAATGTTTTATTGAGTTTTTTAGAGAGAGAGGAAGGGAGAGAGAGAGAAATATCGATGAGAGAGAAACATTGATTGACTGCCTCCTGCACGATCCCTACTGGGAATGGAGCCCAAAACCAGGGTATGTACTCTGACTGGGAATCGAACCGGGACCTCTCAGTCCATGGGACATCACTCAGTCCACTGAGCCACACTGGCTGGGCTGGTGGGACAATTTTTATTATTTATTTATTTTATTATTATGTTTTAAAATTTATTTTTAGAGAGAGAGAAAGGGAGAGGGAGAGAGATAAAAACATCAATGAGAGAGAACATCGATTGGCCACCTTCTGCATGCCACGGGGATTTGGCCCACAACCTGGGCATGTGCCCTGACTGGGAGTTGAACTGGCGAACTCTTGGTGCATGGGTTGATGCTCAACCACTGAGCTACACTGGCCAGGCTTATTTATTTATTTTAAATCCTCACCTGAGACACATCTCTCATATCAATTGGTTGCTTCCTGCAGGACCCTGACCAGGGCTGGGAACTAACCGCAACTGAGTTACATGCCTTTACTTGAATTGAACCTAAGACTCTCTGGTCCACGGGCCTACACTTCAGCTGCTGAACTAAACTAGTCTGGGCTAATTTTTTTTTTAACCTCACCCGAGAACATTTTTCCATTTTTGCACAGATAGAGTGGGAGGGAGAGAGAGGAAGAGAGAGAGAGAGAGAGAGAAACATCGACGTGAAAGGGACACATTGAGTGGCTGCCACCTGCACGACCAACCAGGGCCGGGGACAAACTGCAACCGAGGTACATGCCCTTAGCGGGAACCGAACCCGGTTCTCTCCTGACCGCAGGCCGATGCTCTAACCGCTGATCCAAACTGGCCAGGGCATAATTTTTAAATGAAATTGTATCCTCTGGAAATTGTGGCTACACGTAGGGAGGAAGTAGTGGGTTTTAGTTTCAATTTCCTATTTAGATTCTCCTTCACCTAAGAGGGCCTTAACATCCAAGTTTCTTTATTGCCTAGATATGCCTCCCCAAGCCCACATCAGCATAGCCTGGTGTCCTAACAGGCTTTGGTTTTCAGTGTCTTCCCAGTGTTTGACCCCTGAGCTTTCCCTTACTTTCTTGAGAGCATTTTAAAAATGTTTGCTATGTTTTAAATGTTCTTTTATTTCTTATTTAATACATACATATTTGAATGTGGTCAACTTCTACTTTGAAGCTTTGACCTTGAGGTGATGTGTGAGTCTAATTATACAATTCAAAGTGAGGATTCTGGTGATTTCAGGGCCATTTTTTGTATGCCCAGGATTTCTATGACATTGACAGTAAATGTAGACTGTCTATTGTGTCATGGTATTGTGTGTGGCTATACATGAAGCTTTCAACCACGTTTGTCTTTGTTTCATTAAGTGATTTTGAAGTTAGTGGAAGTTAAAGGAACTTAAGTGTATGTTAGTAAACCTCCAAATACTTGACTTTTGGATTAAGTTGTGTAACTTCACAGAAAGTTGTAACTTTTTCAAGTAAATTTATTTGCAATGTTATGACAGTTAGTCATTGGGAATCACACAGTAAAGTAGGCTTTTAAAATTTACATAACATATAAGAGGGTTATTGGTACTTAATGAAATTCTATCTTTAAAAGAAGTAGGCATTCCTTGAGGAAAAGGTACTAAGCAGTTGATAATTTTTATTAGTCTTATTGCTTTACTGTGATTCATCATAGACTGATTTTTTAGTAAAATGTTACTTCACTTTGATTTCAGAATTCGTTGTTACATCATTGAATAATGGATAAGGATAAGAGAGAAGACAAGAAGAGGTATGAATTCATAACTGACTGATATTTTCATCAAAGCCCTCTACCACATCCTCTATTCCTATTTAGCATCTAGCCAAAACCTTACTTCCTTGGGGAAGCCTGACTTACTCAGGGAAATTTGGTCTCTCCAGTGGGTTTCCCATAACCCCTAGCTCTGAATTTATTACAATATTTACTATATTACTTATGTATCTGACATCTCCCTCTGCCCAAAGCTAACACTAAATAAATGGTTTACACTCCCTGACAGGTTTAGAAGCCTGTTTTAGGTCTTTGGCTTGCCTTAGACCTTAAATCCATTTACATTTGAGAAGATAAATTACCTTATTATTTTCCTTTTTTTGTTCAGGCATCAGAAGTAAATTGCAGTGCACTGATAAAAAATTTTTGTCAACATTTTTCAATATGATGTATGTGTTTTAAAAGTAAAAAAAAATATATCAATTAGCATTTTATTGCTCAGCCTGCTGTCTGAGGAGCAATGACTTTGAGAGAGCCTCTTGAGTAATTATAGATAATTTAGAAAGAATTTATTTAATCAGGAGTACTCTTGTAAAAACAGGTAAGAATACATGATAGAACAAACACCTACCATTAAATTCAGATTAATTTGAACTTAATTTATTTTATATTATTCTTTGGCAACAATGTTAGACATTGTGCTGGGATTTGCTATGGAAGACATAGAGACATATCTGGTACCTGTCCTTAGGGACCTCACAGTTTAAGCGAGATGAGATTGGCTTTCATTTCCTTGTTTTAATATTGACAGTTATTGCTGCCCTATGAATTAACGGACTGGATTTTTTCTCAAATGTCGACGTTAACATTTCTCTTTCTCTCTTATTTCTCCCTATTCATTACTCTATTGTCTGAATTTCCAGCCCTACCCTTACCATTAATAACCCTGATTTCTTGTCAATTAGGGATGCACCTAATGTAGCTGAAACTAAAAAGAAGGACCAATTCAAAAGCCTCTTCGCTCAACTGCGTGCCTTGCTGCAAACTCATGGCTATCCTGTAAAAGGAGACAGAGAAAAAAAATTGCAGAGTACTAGTGCTCTTTCACAGAAGAAAGAAGGTTTGATCTAAGCACCTCAACCTATCTTTATAGGTTTTTGATAGCCATATTGAAAATCAGTTGTGGGTGAGACAGCTGATTCTCTCCCTTTACCTCAAACAACTGTGGGAGAGATTAATTACAAGAGGGTATCCCCCAAAACCTTCGAATACACAGATACTTAGTTTCGCTCCATTCATAAGTGTTTATGGTCGAAGCTGAAAATATTGAGGTTCATGCAAAATGAAACAAGGACATGAGAATTAGTAGAAATATACTGGGCAATAAGGGAGATTTCTGTATCTTAGGCACATGAAGGCATATGGTGAATGTTGCTAAGGGAAACATGGCCCTGAAGGTGTAAAAGAATACTTATAATATTTAAGTATGTTTAACTCAGGACATCTGAGCAGGTTATGTCCATCAGCATATAATCATGCTGTAAAAATTTCTTACCCTGAAAAAAATATTTTCTTGACCCTATGATACCTTCAGCTATTGACCTATTTCTGTGCTCCCTTCACAGCAAATGTTATTGAAATTATTGTATAGTCCCTGTCGCAACTTCCTCATGACCCATTCTTTCCTCAACCCACTTCATTGAGGTTGGAGCAATGATCACTCCAAAACAACTTTTCTCAGGAATAACAGTGACCTCCACATTGCTGAATACTTTTGTTCCTTATATGTTCTCGTCTTTCTTGACTTTTTGAAACGCTGGACAGGTGACCAGTCCCTCCTACTTGAAACATTTTTCTCTTGGTTTGCAGGAGAACACACATAGTTTCTCTCCTAGTTCATTAGCCATTCCTTCTGTGTTTTTTGTTTTGTTTTGTTTTGTTTTTGCATTTCCTACTTTCCTTTTCACCCTCTAAATATTGGTATGCCCCAGGGCTGTACTTGGACCTTTCTCTTCTATATCTACCCTTATTCCCTAGGTAATCTCATCCAGCCCCTTAATTTGAAGTGCTACCTTGATGTCAGTGACCCCCACTTTTTAAATCTATCTCTAGTCCTGACCACCTACCTGAGTTCCATACTTGAGTATCATACTCATTATTAAATCAGTAAAAGTTTCTTATGTGACCTTTTCACTTGGATATCTAATAAGAAAGAAAGAGATGAAGGAACTCTTTTTTTTAAATCCTCACCTGAGGACATTTTTCCATTTTTTGTTCAGATAGTGGGAGGGGGGAGAGAGAGAGAGAGAGAAACATCGACGTGAAAGGGACGCATCGAGTGGTTGCCACCCACACGACCCAACCAGGGCTGGGGACAAACTGAAACCAAGGTACGTGCCCTTAGCGGGAACCTAACCTGGGTCTCTCTGGACCACAGGCCGAAGCTCTAACTGCTGAGCCAAACTGGCCAAGGCAACATCTGATGAAGGAACTCTTGATCCCTCTTTATTTCATTGGCTCTCATTCTCCACCTTCACCTCACTTTCCCCATTTCAGTGCCTGGTACTACCAATCATTCTTCTAGCTGCTATAGCTAATAATCTGGAAGTCATTTTTGTACTCTCCATTTCTGTCACCATATCACCCAGTCTATCAGCAAATCCTTTCAGCTTTACCTCTAAAATATATCTCAAATCCATTAATTTCTTTCCATTTTCTTAACCTTGGTGTACTGACCTAATCTAGTCCCCTATCACCTCTTACTTTTGAAGAAGCTTCCTAGCTAGACTCTTCGCTTCCACACTTACTCCTCAATTTGGTGTGTTTTTCACAGCCATAGTGATCTTTTAAAAATGTGCTTAAAAGACTTCATGTTCAGAATAATGCCAGTTCCTTACCATATACACTACATGATCTGGCCCTGCCCATCTCTCAGACTTCATTTTCTACTACTGTATTCATTGGTCTCTGTATTATAGCTCCTTTGGCCTGTTGTTTGTTATTTAAATAGGTGAAATTCTTTCCTGCCTCACTTTGTACTTACTGCTTCCTCTTTCTGAAATGCTTCACTCCCAGGTTTTCACATGGTTGTGTCTCTTGGCTCAGTTGTTACCTTCTCAGCAAGGCGTTCCTTGATCACTCAGTCTAAGTTATTGTACTTAACAATATGTGAAATTATTTGAAATTATTGATTTCATGGTCTACATGTTAATTATCTTTCAACCCTCACAATCAGTCTGTAAGATAAAAATACAGTCACCGAGAATTCCAAAATGGCAGGGGAGTGAATGGAAACTACACAGACCATCTCCCAGGACCAAACGGGAATTACAACTAAAACACAGACAAGTTGATGGGAAAAAGCAGATTGTGAGGACCATATAACAAGGGGCACTGACTCGATTGAGAAGGTGCAAGACGGGGGCTGGGAGCCCACAGTTGGCAGCTCCGCAGCGGACTTAGCTGAGAGCAGCGCCCTCGGGTTAAAGTCCCAAGCGGCTCCACAGCATAGAGCTGGGACAGAGGCTAAATAAGCCACAGCCACTCACCTTGGGCTCTGGCAGAGGGAGGGCAGACTGGACTGGAACTGTGTGGGGACACTTGGGATTTGGAGGGCACTCAGAGCTTTTGCTGAGTTGCAGCCACACAGGACTGTGGCCATATGGTTCCTTCCCAGGGCTCTAGGGAGAGGCAGCAGCCCTCCCCTCAGATATCCAACCCCACCCTGTGGGCCATTGAAATGCTAATTGAGGCTCACAAACAACTGGCATCTGCCCCACCCTGGGGAAACCCCCTTACCCTGAACACCTGAGGGAATTTTTCAATCAATAAACAACCCAAAACTCTTCAAGTAACCTGCACTACTAGCATCCAGGCACAGAGCTAGAGGATAACAGTACCATTCCTGGGCAAGCAACTCTAACAAGGAAAGTAAGACTTGACAGTGGTGTTTAACGTGGGTCCTACCTCGCTCATCTAAACCCAGGAGAGGGAGCCACAAACAGCAGAACACCAACACCCACAGGGAAAATTTGGCAGCCTCCAAAGCCCACTGTGATAGCCAAATGGTAAAACAAACAAACAAAAGCCAAATTAAAGAACAAGAGACCTCCACCAAATATGATATCAAAGTGGAGCAGTTAGGCAAGTTAACAGAGTGAGAATTTAGAGCCATGATCTTGAGGAAGCTCAACAGTGTGAGTAAGGACATAGAGATGCTGAAAATAAACCAATTGGAAATCAAAAACCACCAAGAAGAGATCAAGAGTGACATATCAGAAATAAAGAACACATTGGAAGGTCTAAAGAGTAGAGGAAGCTGAGGACCGGATCAGTGAATTAGAAGACAGGGTAGAAAAAATCAACCAATCCGAAAACCAAAAGGAAAAAACTATTTAAAAACATGAAGACAGCTTAAGAGAACTGTGGGACAACTGGAAACATAACAATATTCACATCATAGGAGTCCCCGAAGAAGAAAATGAGCAAGGAGTAGAGAATATATTAAAAGAAATAGTGACAGAAAACTTCCCTAATTTGGTGAAGGAAGAAGGCATTCAAGTTCAAGAAGCACAGAGAGCCCCAAGTAAGAAAAACCCAAACAGGCCCACACCAAGACAAAAATAAAATACAAAGAGAGAATCCTAAAAGAAGCAAGAGTTAAGCAACAGGATAGCTACAAAGGAACCGCCATAAGGCTCTCAGCTGACTTCTCACAAGAAACACTACAGGCCAGAAGGGAATGGCATGAAGTAATCACGGTCATGAAAAACAAGGATCTAAATCCAAGACTACTCTCCCCAGCAAGGCTGTCATTCAAAATAGAAGGTCAAATAAAGAGCTTCCCAGAAAAAACAAGGCTAAGGGAATACATTAGCACCAAACCAGCACTACAAGAAATGTTAAAAGGACTGCTGTAATTAGTAGAAGAAATGGGAAGAAAAATATAACCACACTAAACAAAAATGGCAATAAATAAGTACATATCAATAATCACCTTAAATGTAAATCCACTGAATGCTCCAATAAAAACACACAGAGTAGCTGATTGGATAAGAAAGCATGACTCATGTATATGTTGTTGACAAGAGACCCACCTCACAACAAAAGACGCACATAGGTTGAAACTGAAGAGATGGAAAAAAAATGTTTGAGAAATGGAAAGCAAAAGAAAAGCTAAGGTATCAATACTCATATCTGATAAAATAGATTTCAAAATGAAGACCATAACTAGAGACAGAGAAAGCCACTGCATGATATAGAAAGGATCTGTCCAACAGGAAGATATAACCTTGATAAACATATATGCACCCAATATAGGAGCAACAAAATATATTATAAATCTTCTGGAGGACTTCAAAGGAGAAATCGACAACAATACAATCATAGCAGGGGACGGCAACACCCCGTTGACACCGCTGGATAGATCCTCTAGACAAAAATTAGCAAGGAAACAGAGACTCTAAATGAAGCACTAAACCAAATGGATTTAATAGATATCTACAGAGAATTACACCCCAAAATTACAGAATTCACATTCCTCTCAAGTGCACATGGGACATTCTCAAAGATAGACCATATGATAGGACACAGAGTAAATCTCTACAAGTTCAGGAAGATTGAAATCATATCAAGCATCTTCTTAGATCACAATGGCATGAAACTAGAAATCAATTGCAACAAAAACATGCAAAGACATGTGAACACATAGAGGCAAATACCATGTTATTAAACAATGAATGGGTTACTGAGATCAAGGAAGAAATTAAAAACTTCCTGGAAACCAGTGAAAATGAACACACAACAACACAAAATCTATGGGATGCATCAAAAGCAGGTCTGAGAGGGAAGTTCATAGCACTAAAGGCCTACCTCAAGAAACAGGAAAAATTTCTAATTGACTCTCTAATCTCACAACTTAAAGAATTAGAAAGCAAACAAAAAGAAAACCCCAGAGCAAGTAGAAGGAAGGAAATAGTAAAGATCAGAGCAGAAATAAACGACATAGAGACCAAAAAAAAAAAAAAAACAATTTAAAGGATCAATGAAACAAAGAGCTGGTTTTTCGAAAAGATAAACAAGATTGATGGACCCTTAGCTAGACTCACCAAGGAACAAAGA